ACCCCTCATTAATGTGGACTGCATTTCTCGATAAGTCCACAATATAATTTCTACAAATACTAATTTCCGTAAGAGTTATAAAAACAACCTTAAACCCTGGATAAATCGAACAGCAATTAAACAAATTAATCACAAACGACATATATGGCAAAAATTTAAACACACCGGGCTTCTTAGTAATTTCCAAAGCCACAGAAGATATTCAAATAACTTAAAAACATGACATCTAAAGTTTCCATTCCGCTACTTCAAAAACCTAACCAGACTTTATGCATTTCTGACAAAGAATCTTCCGAAACTCTCTCTTTAGCATTTTCACAGGTTTTTATTAAAGAATTAAATGATGGTTATCTACCTGCTATTAACTGTAATCGTGTCGGCGCATCCTTACAGCAAGTTGAATTCACAGTGGATCATGTCAAACAACACTTAATTAAACTTCGCACGGCTTCACCTGGTTTAGATGGTTTAACACCAAAATTGTTAAAAAGGTGCGCAGACACGCTTGCAATACCCTTAACGTTAGTTATGCAAACTTCTTTCATCCAGAACTCCTTACCCCCTAGTTGGAAATTAGCTTCCGTTACCCCTATTTTTAAAAAAGGCAACAATTATCGTCCGATTAGTTTGCTGCCAGTAGTTGCCAAAGTTATGGAAGCCATTATTTCCGAGGAGATGACCAAATTCCTTCTCCAGGAACATGTTATTCCAACACAACAACATGGATTTGTCTCTGGTCGCTCTACTCTAACCAATCTCCTACATTGTGTTAACGACTGGACGTCATCCCTTAACAGTTCGCAGTCGGTCGACGTTGTTTATCTAGATTTTTCTAAAGCCTTTGACCGTTTACCTAAGATCAGACATAAGCTAGAACATTTCGGAGTTCGCGGTACTTTACTTCGTTGAATAGATGATTTCCTGACAGATCGATATTACAAAGTTGGAGTTGGCGAATCTTTCTCACAGGACAGGTTAGTGGAAAGTGGAGTGCCTAAGGGTTCTGTCCTTGGACCTCTCCTTTTTACGGTTTCTTCTTCAGGTTCCACTCCTATCGGAGATTGTAAATCATTCTGGCAATTATAATTTTATTGGTTACTCGCCTGAATAGTTAAATTGAACTGCATCCAAACTGCTTCTGCTTCTACCTTTGATTTTACCCTGCATTTTATTCCTTAGTAGTTCGTACTTTTCACCTCTCATGCTGTGCCCCAAGTATTCTAATTTCCTGATTTTTATGGAATTTAAAACTTCGCATTGTTTTCTTAGCTGTTCGAGAACTTGTTCGTTTGTTTTGCGATCCATCCATGATATTTTCAAAATACGTCGGTAACACCACATTTCGAATGCTTCTAGGTTTTTAATGTTGGATTTTTTAAGTGTCCAAGAACTCCATACAAAAGGGTAGAGAAAATATAACATCGAAGCATTCTTATCCGGAGCGATATATTGATATCGCGATTACAAAAAAGTTTTCTCATTCAATTAAAAGTTGACCGCGCAATTTCAATGCGGCATCTTATTTCTTTTGTCTGATCAGTATCTTCTGTGATCCATGCTCCAAGGTATTTGTACGAAGTACACGTTTGTTTTACGGTTTACACCAGTGATATTCCTTATTATGTCTCAAGTAAAATATCGTTCTACGCTGACGACACAAAAATATATGCCAATCCAATCACAAACCAGCTATCCCTCCAAATGGACTTGGACTCTATTTTACCTTGGTGTTTTCAGTGGTTACTACCCTTAAACGCGGAAAAATGTGTAGTGCTTCGAATTGGTAAAAATAACTCACTAGTGCCGTACTTTATTAACGGGCAGCCATTAGAATCCGTGTTTTCGTATAACGATCTTGGTGTTATCGTGAACAGCAGCCTAACTTGGTCCGACCATATTACCTCTATTTGTACACGTGCAAACTCCAGACTGTATCTTATTCGGAGGTGTTTTTCGAGAGTTTCAATTCAATCATTTTGTAAACTTTACACCCTGTACGTAAGACCCATACTTGGATACGCTGGACCAACGTGGTATCCTGATCTGGTTCGAGACAAGACTCTGTTGGAAAACGTCCAAAGAAAATCCACTCGAATTTCTTTGGGATTGAGAAGACCTTCTTATGCAGAAAGACTTAGTATGGCTAACCTAACTACTTTTGAACTTCGCCGACAACATGGAGACTTAATCACAACATTTAAAATACTAAAATTCAATTTTGGAAACCTCGATGAAATATTTATCATAAATAAAGATGACCGCCTCAGAGGTCATCAGTATAAACTAAAGAAAGAAAATTTTGTCAAGATCAAGACAGAACTTTCTTCCAAATAGAGTTTTTGAGTGCTGGAATAATCTTAACGATAACATTGCCTCCGCTCCCTCTACCAACTCGTTCAAAAACAGACTTGACCGTTTTATATTATAGTTAAAAGATTGTTTTTCTTTTAAACCATAAAATTGTAACTTTATTTCTTTTATTTGTAATTTTTGTTATTTTCTAGTAGGTGATTAATGAATTCTCTTTGTTTTTTGGGCATAATAGGGACTTATTTCCTCTGCCCTCGCTTATGTTATAATAATAATATCACGTAGATTCTTTAACCATGAGTTCTGCCTTCGGCCAACAGATCTCCCTTGAATCTTTCCCTGTATTATGAGTTTAAAAATTTCATATTTTGGTCCCCTCATCACGTGGCTTAGGTATTCCAGTTTTCAGGTTTGTATAGTGGTGATTAGTCCTGTTTCTTTACCAACCCTCTCCAGTACTCCTTTATTTGTAATTCTAGCAAACCACTATATTTTCAATACTCTGCGGTACAACCAGAGTTCGAAGGCCTCGATTCTTTTTTAATTACATTTTTTTAATGTCCAAGTCTCAGCTCCATATAATAATATTGAAAATATATAACAGCGAATGGCACATAGTCGGATCTCCAAATTTAGTATTTTGCACGTTAGGAGTGGCTTCATTCGTATAAATGCTGATCTGGCAATCTCTATTCGTCTGTTTATTTCTACAGTATGATCATTGGTTTCATTGATCAAAGTTCCCAAGTACTGATATTTTTCTACTTGTTCTATCACGTTACCATTGATTGTCAATAGGTGAAGTATATTTTGTGGTCTTTTTGTAATTAGCATGTACTTCGTTTAGGTTAGCATGTTTTGGTTAGCATGTTATTAGCATGTTGTAGGTCCTCTATACTCGTTGGTATAATCACAATGTCGTCTGTGTATCTTAAGTTGTTAATTAATTTTGCGTTAATTGTTTTCGATATTATTGAGAGTGTTTTGGAAAATTTCTTCAGAATATAAGTTACACAAAAGTGGCGATAAAACACATCCCTGTCTAACTCCTCTACAGATCCTCATAACTCCTCTACAGATCCTCATTTCTTCGGATTTAAGAATCCTTAAATTCGGGGAAAATCCCTAGACACGACAACTGTTTCTGTATATCTCAAAACATTTTTTGATGAAATTGATGATACCTACATTAAAAACATTCCACTACGTATCCCCACTTTCTTCTGCCCATAGCAGTCGTCCTACAGACACCTTCTCTTTGTAGATCATATTTACACGACCCTTAACGTTTTTTCGTAATTGCCAAATTCTTCGTCTTCCCTAATCTCTCAGCAACATGTTTTTCTTAACTTTCATATAACATTATTGTCGCTATTCTCAACAGCCAGAATTTTTTTTGTAAACCAAATAAATCTGGTTTAAACCAAAAAACCTGTTTATTTTTTGTTTTTTGGAAAAAAACTTGGTTTTTGCCAACCCTGCTTTGGTGTTCCTTCATCGTCTCCACTTGTTTTCTCTCACTTCAACTCCTCCAAATACCTTTTTAGAACACCAAGATATGTTAAATAAATAAAACCAGTTTTAAGTCTAAAATATTTATTAAAATCTAAACGTTATTATCTGGCACAGATAAATCACAAAACCAAGATTCTTTGGTGTGCATAAATATTATTTTAACGTTAGGTCCAATATTCATATAACATATTATTATTCTACTTTAAGGAATACAAAAAGCTAAATATTTTAAACGTAACTTTATAACTATATCATAACACAGCGAGAAAAATAAACTATATGTGTCTATGTGAGGCAGTTTAACATTGATAACTACTAAAAATGGTGATTTTATTATATATGAGTTCTAGAATAATGAAGACAATCGGGAGTATACATCCAAATGAATGAAACATTTTTCGTCATAGTTGAGACTATTATTTTTAAAAATTATAAAATCAAGTTCTAGATCAACTAAATAACCTACCGTTCGCTATCTACCATAATTATAACAGAAAGAGAAATATAAGATTAAGAGAATAGTTTTCACATAATTTTACCCTGGAGGAAGATTATCACGTATCAAAATCAATGATAAAAAAAAATGAAGTAACTAATGCTTAGTTTCTTACAAATCAGTACATATTACAGGCTAATTATTAGACCAAATATTATAGTTAGAACATCTTAACATTGTAAGACATCACAATCTTCATCCAATGTTGAGACAAGTTATTTAGTTAATTTTGTTATATATAGTCTACATGGAACAATAAAATCATTAGAATTTTTTGGTCCTTTGAGCCGGATAGAAGTCTTGATGAAATAATGTTAACAATATTCTGTTTTTAAGGAACGTTATATTATACATATATATAAAAAAAAGTAAGATTTTCAAATTTACAGTTTTTTGTAACAAATAGTATGGTAAAAGCACAATCAGTACATACAACAAATTTAAAAAACAGAAGAATTCTTACAAATTAAACTCTTGTTAGTGCATTTATTAAAAATTAATCCAAACAAACAAGCAAAGTATGAGTGTTTTGTTAAGAATATATTATAGCCAATATAACCTACAGATATGTCCATTGTGCACAGATTATGTGCTTTCAGTTGAGAATGGTTGTGACTATCATATAATAAATAGTCTACGGTAAAAAAAATACAACAGCGGTAATAAAATTTGAAATTTTGAGTTTTTAAAATATATTAACAAAGTAAGTTCCTTTTTATTGTTTTACTTTCGTCTCACACATATTTAATCAAGTAGGTATAGATTTTTAAGTATCGCTGAAATATATCGTATTAAATGCATGTTGGATTAAAATATAAACATTAAAAAATAGATCTATGAACGTAATCATATAAGGAAATACAAATATACTATTCTAGATATTAAGATTGCCATATGGTGCTTATATATCAAAATGGATAAAAACGAATTACAATGTGGGTATTGAGTGGTCCATCAAATCCTTCAGTAGTGAACCCTTCATTCTGAAAAATAATAATGGTAAAAATAAGTAAACTTCAAATTGACGGAAAATTTATTTTTTATTTTTTGTAATATGTCAAAAAAAATACAAAATATGTAATGTAAAACGTTATAATCTAAGCTTTATTAGTTATAAACTGTTTTAGGTTATATTGTAGTTAATGGTTAATTTAGGTTGTAGTTGTAGGTTATATTACGATTAAGTTATTGGATATCATCATGGACGAAATAATAAGAAAGGTGAGTAAAATTAAACAATATAAAATGGTAGAAAAATTGAAATCTGAAAATAGATACGACAAATATGAAACAAAAAGTATGACAGCATCAAAGATGTCTGAGATGCAAGTTTAACAGATGAAATAACTATCGAGCAAGTAATTAAATTCAAATGTTTAGGTATAAAAATATCAGGTTTTATCGAAGTTGAGGCGGTGAAGTACAAACTCACTGTACAATATGAGGGGTAAAACGGCAGGGATGTGTAAAAGATCAAATAGGGAAAAAACAAAAAAATTAGCATTGAGACCAAATCAAGAATCCACGAGACAACTTAACGACCTTTTTTGTATGGCTCTGCTAGTTCACAGATTTTAAACAAAATAGATATCTTCATGTAGAACCTCTCCATGTAGAAGCTATTGAGTCTCATTTAAATCACAGAAGGCAGTTCACTGCAGACAAATTTCTTTTCAAAATATCCAGAACCAACAATATTTAAATATAAGTATATTTAAATATAAGTTAAATATAGTAGTAAATGAACAAGATATTACAAATAAATATTGGTCGAAGAAAAATTCTTCACTACTGTGTATCGCACATCAATCTAATCAAAATATCCACAGTGATTTATATTATCCCAGCTCAACTTTGTCAGATCTTTATGATTACAATTCATTGTTTCTAAATATAAAGATTGTAAAACCTTCACATAGCGATAATTTTCACATTAACATTAACTTATCACATTCAATACTTGCAAGCTTCGAAGAATCTGTGGCAATATATACCGATGCTTCCAAGTCCAAGGATGCTGTGGGATGTGCTTTTTATATTAACTCCAAAAATATTAATTATTCCTACAAACTGGATAACATATTTTCTATATTTAGTGCTGAAGCTACTGCAATCTACGAAGCCTTGACATTTTTAACACTGCCTACAATTGATTCTGTGAATATTTGCATGTGCAAACTTGTGGTGAGCAACTTGGACAGTCCATAGCAAAGCAGCTGTCGGATTGAGTAGATAGCTGCTCAAGAGTTTGCTGTGGAACTCTCAGAACCTTATCATCTTGTTTGTATGTAAATATAGATAAAAATGAGATAATACAAAAAAATATTTTAAATTATATTTACCGTTTTTTGAACACACTCATGATGTTGAAAAGAAGCTATATTTAAATTGTATCTTATTTCTTCTATTATTGATATTTTATGGACTTTAGGGTCAATAAATTTTTATGTTTAAGGTATTAGTCATTTTGTAACTGGCTGATTGACACCTAGTCTATGCCAATAAAAAAAACTGGCTGATTGACATCTAGTCTATGTCAATAAAAAAAACTATACGACCTTTTATGGCATATAATGCAGAAACCAGCGCAGAAACATAAAAAACTAAATCATAGTGTTTTTCGTGTTCGAAAGGCAATGGAAAAAAGCGAATGCATAGTTACAAATGCAAGGTCGAAGATATTAATAACTGACACAGACGCATATAAAAATATTGCAGCGTTACATCCATTAAGGGGTTTATTCCTTACATACGTTTGGTTCATTAATATTTAAAATGCGCGCTTTCTATAGCCAATCAATTAAACGAATTACGAACATTCGACGTAACACTTCATCCATGTTGAAAGTGTCAAAGAGTGAAGTGATCGTTGTCGTGTAGGTCAGTATTTGACATTATTTCACAGCGCTGTGCATTATTTTGTGTTTTGAATTGTTTATTTTTTTTTATAATATTTTTAAAATGACCAGATATACAGAAAAGCAGCCAGTACTGAAACTCAAATTACTTAACTATTTTCAATTAGAAAAGGAAGCTGGACAAACTTTATTACCAATTTCTACTGTTATTTAGCTAAAATTAGGCTAAAAAATTGTTTTACCTACTGTTTACTTCAGCGTGTTGATGTGGCATTAAGAATTTGTTTGCCAACTATAAGACAGTTGGCAAATGAAGGTATCCAAAAAAAAATACCGATTATTTCATCACAATGAGCGAATCAGTAGCCACAGTCTTGAACCCAAATTGATAATAAATAAATACGAACATGCCATGCATTACAACAGGTTAGTTAAAATATATTATCATATTTCTGTTAGAAAGACAGGAGTAACTAACTTGCCAGATACATTTCTTTTTAAAAATCGTTACTGACTAGTTACGTATATAAAATATACAGAGTGAAAAGTGATTATAAAAGGAATTCCAGAATTGTAGGAAGCAAACAATTTTGGCTGTACTACATTTTCTTTTGATTTTTATTTAATTTAATTTTATAACAACTAGAAAACGAACTAGCTATGCTTGTATTATATTCTATCATAAAGAAAACAATAAATGGATCATTTTGTCATTTTTAAATGTTTCCATATCTATCTCGAAAGTAGAAATCCAAGATTTCTATTGACGAAACCAAAATTCAGATTTTTGCTTAATATGCGCCTTCTATAAATTTGCAAAGCAAAACAGACGGTGCTAAAGATATAAGAGAGATATGGAGAATCTAAAAGTTGCATCCCACGACATTATCTCATCTATGCAAAAATCTTTGGCGAATTGCGTTTCTTGTACTTATAATAAATTTTATATTTTCATAAATAAAATTATCATATCAATTTTGCAATAGCTGCTAAGTGAAACTTCTTGAATTTTTTATAGATGAATACATGTGGTATTCATTATCACGCGAAATTAAAGTTTTTTTGTGCAGTTTTAAAAAAGTTTTTTATAAAATATATTTCAGTTTTTAAGTCATAAAGGTCTATTAAAAAAACAATACTTACGATTTAATCATATGTTCGTACAAGAAACTCGGAATAACGGTGATAGTAACTACGGGTCCAGCTTTCTGAATGATATTAGTAATTTCCTTGTCTTTCAGTCCTACAACATTCTGTCCATCAACTTCCAGCAGCTGATGTTCGATCAGAACACCGTTCCTAGCAGCCGAAGAATCCTTAACAATTGTGATAATTTTACCATTCTTGTATTGGAATCCTATACAACCTACGCTGTCTTTGTGTAAAGTGATAGTTCTTTCGAAGGGCCTGTCTCGAACAACGACTTTGATACCGTTAACGGGGCTCTTCTTGAACATAGCGTGTACCTAAAAAAGTAATATTGGTTAACTGAAACAGAGCACACAATAATTTTTTGTCAATAAATAAATTTCTTTTTAACGTTCAAATGCAACAACAAAATGTACTTTTGTAATAGGTATGACATAGTGACACATCAGAGACGTTATAAGTTTTATTATCATCATTCTGGCTTTACAACCCCTGCCTGGGTTCTAGCCTCCTCAAGAATTTGTCTCCAGTCGGCCCTATCCATCGCCTTCCCCCGCCAAGCAAATATTCCCATAGTTCTCATGTCTTCATCGATGTTATAAAGGAACCTTATTCTGCGTCTTCCTCTTCTTCTCTGACCAATGCGTCTATCAATGAGCGTTTTTCTAGCTGGGTCATTTTGTGCCATCCGCCTTACATACCCTATCCACCTCAGACGTCTTATCTTAATACGTTTTACGATATTTGGTTCCTGGTATATTCTATAAAGTTCGAAGTCGTATCGTCTTCTCCACACTCCATTGTCATTCACTGCTACATGGATTCGCCTTAGTACTTTTCTTTCGTAACATGCTAACGTATTTTCATTACTTTTTGTTAGAGTCCAGGTGTCTGAACCATATGTTAGGACTAGCAGTATTATTGTTTTGTAGAGTTTTATTTTTGTATTGCTCGATATAATTGTGGATTTTTGTAGCTAATCCTTTTAATGCTACATACGCCTCTCGTACAGCATTTTCCGTTCTGTCTACAATATTGATATCATCAACATAGACAAGGATTTGCACTGATTGATTGAACAGTATACAGGAGAGAGGGTTTCCCTGGCGCAGCCCGTTATTTGTTTTAAAAAGTTCAGACATTTCCCCCTGAATTCTTACTCTACACTCAATTTTTTCAAGAAATAATTTTGTTAAATTTACCAACTGATGTGGCATTCCTAAATCTTCCATTGTTTTGAACATTTCTCTTCTATTCACAGTGTCATAGGCTGCTTTGTAATCTATAAATTGAGATGAGTATCTATGCCTAAGTATTCCAGTGTTTTTTCTAAAAAAATTTATATGCTGCATTTAGAAGCGTAATTCCTCTGCGGTTAGAGCATTCAAAGATATCTCATTTTTTGTGTATGGTGCAAAGTATTCCAATATTCCAATAAATGGGAAGGTTTCTGTGTCCATATTTCTTTTATGACATGCCGTAGTCCCATTATGGTATCATGGATAAGGAAACGAGTTATCCGTGTGGAGTTGTCTGTCTCCCATCGGACGCAACCCTAGGTGGTGGATAGGGGAACGCCCTAACCAGTCTTAGGACCGGCGGATAGGTGGGAAATAAAAATACCAACCGCAAACCAAAACAGACTAAGATATGGCAACCTTAACAGAAGAGTCGCTGGCCCTCCAAATTTAGGGGTTGGGCTAGAGGCTGACAACCTCTTCCTGTAAAAAAGTCTTTATTACGGAACCTCAAGAACTAAATTTTATTATTTTAAACAAAAAATTACTAACGAAAAATTCTGAATGATTGATGTGTCCACATGTACTCCCAGTGAGTATTGATAGCACGTGCAAATAGCCACTTACATATTAAAGAAGTTTAAAAACCTGTGTTTTACATTTTCAATGGATTAAAGATTTTGTATCTGAGCAGCCAACAGAACCATTTCAGCCTCTTCACAAAATATTGCCAAATATAAGGGAGGACCGTTTTCAGTGACACATTCAGTGTACATATACTTTTTAATGCCGTTCACTAATTATTCTAACAAAAATGTTGATCTCTTATACATGTTTTATAAAGCCGCAATATTCCAAAGTAAAATTTGAAAATTATACTAGTTGCGTTTAGTCAAGATTTGACGGGTTTGTCGTGAGTCAGGTTTCCAACCATCCTTCCATCCAATAGCACTACAGCCAAAGTCGGGTCTGGGCCTCTTTCAGTAAGTTTCTTCAAAGATCTCGGTATACCGCTGTTCTTTTATATTAACGTAGTTTTGACACTCATTTCTCGTCTATGGACGACTATCAGATTATACATTGTTATAAAGACAAAATAGACTATGTCGGGTCAGGAGGCAACGACAAATGAGTAGACGGGGTAATGGTGTGGGCCCAAAATTATTGGGGCGCGAAATGATGTGGGCGCAAAATGGTGTGGACGCGAAATTGTGTGGGCGCAAAATGATCATCATCATCTTTGGCTCGACAATCCTCTGTGGATCTTGGCCTGCTCTAAGATTCGTCGCCATTCTGTTCGGTTTTTGGCAACATGTTGCCATCTTCTGATTTTTAATATTCGTGGGTGCAAAATGATGTGGGCGCAAAATGATGTGGGCGCAAAATGGTGTGGGCAAAAAATGGTGTGGGCAAAAAATGGTGTGGGCGCAAAAATGGTGTGGGCAAAAAATGGTGTGGGCAAAAAATGGTGTGGGCGAAAAATGGTGTGGGCGCAAAATGGTGTGGGCGAAAAATGGTGTGGGCGAAAAATGGTGTGGGCGCAAAATGGTGTGGGCGAAAAATTGTGTGGGCACAAAATTGTGTGGGCACAAAATTGTGTGGGCGAAAAATGGTGTGGGCGAAAAAAATGGTGTGGGCGCAAAATGGTGTGGGCGAAAAATGTGTGTGGGCGAAAAATGTGTGTGGGCGAAAAATTGGTGTGGGCAAAAAATGGTGTGGGCGCAAAAATGTGTGTGGGCGAAAAATTGTGTGGGCGACAAAATTGTGTGGGCGAAAAATGGTGTGGGCAAAAAATGGTGTGGGCGCAAAATGGTGTGGGCGCAAAATGGTGTGGGCGCAAAAATGGTGTGGGCGCAAAATTGTGTGGGCGAAAAATTGTGTGGGCGAAAAATGGTGTGGGCGCAAAAATGTGTGGGCGAAAAATGGTGTGGGCGAAAATATGTGTGGGCGCAAAATGGTGTGGGCGAAAAATGGTGTGGGCGAAAAATGGTGTGGGCGAAAAATGGTGTGGGCGAAAAATGGTGTGGGCGAAAAATAGTGTGGGCGAAAAATGGTGTGGGCGAAAAATGGTGTGGGCGAAAAATGGTGTGGGCGAAAAATAATGTGTGGCGAAAAATGGTGTGGGCGAAAAATGGTGTGGGCGAAAAATGGTGTGGGCGAAAAATGGTGTGGGCGAAAAATTGTGTGGGCGCAAATATGTGTGGACGCAAAATGGTGTGGGCGAAAAGTGGCGTGGGCGCAAAATGGTGTGGGCGAAAAGTGACGTGTAATAGTGAATCCATTCTGGACATCACATTGGTTTCAACCAAATTTCTAAACAGGGTCGTAAGCTGGACTGGTTTGGAAGAAGAATCGCTTAGCTTACACAAGTATGTGAGTTTTGAAATAGCTAGCAAAAGACAGAAACGTAAAAATGGGGATATCAATCTAAAGATATGTTTTAATCAGGAGGTTTTTGTAGATGTTTTTGGCTTGATTGGTCCGGGATGTGAAGATGTGTGTGTGAATTGAGGGTCTGAGTGATGCACAGGAGTTGGCTTGTGTACGATCAAATGGAAGGTATGAAAGAAAACAACCATACTGGTGGAACTAGCAGCTTGAAAATCTGAGAACAAACTGCATGAGAGTAAGAAGGGAGTGTAAGAGGTTAAGAAGAGTACAAGCAGTAGATTTGGAAGAGAGAATAAATGAATTAAAGCGAATGCAGAATGAATACAGGAATGAGACAAGAAGATATAAGAAAGAAATGTGGAGTAACCTGCTTCAGGATCTCGAAAGGGATATGGGGCAGGGCTTCAAGATTGTCTGTACCGAATTGGAAAGGAAAAAGACACCCTACCCCTGCCTGAGAAGGAAAAACCTGGAGCGGCGTGAAAGGGTTATTGGTTTCGTATATGCGGAACCTTTCACTGAGTTGGAACTCGGCGAGGCTGTTGGACGGATGAAGCACCTGGCATAGATGGAGTCATGCCGGAGACAGTAAGACTCGCCGCACTAAAATACCCGCAGGTTTTTCTGAGATTGCTAAACAAACTGCTTAAACAACAGCAGTTTCCATCAATGTTGAAAGAAGCTAAGGTTGTCCTTATACCGAAAGGTAAAGGTCAAGAGGAAAAGATACGATTTCGGCCAATTTGCCTTCTTAGTTCGATAGCTAAATTGTACGAACAGCTTATAAAAGGCCGCCTTGAGCGAGAGCTAGAAGAAAAGCATGCACTGAGCGATCGCCAATATGGTTTTAGGGCCAAAAGGTCCACCATAGATGCGGTCACAGAAGTAACCTCTTTAGTTACGCAGGATAAAACGAGATGGGTGACTCTCACCTGCTCGATGTCAAGAATCCCTTTAATACGGCATCATGGGAAAAAATCATGTCCAGGCTTAGAGAATTGGACGTTAGTGAATACCTGATCAACGTAATTGGATAAGGATACTTCACTGACAGGTCCATAAGAGAAAAAGATACCAGCATCAGTTTGTCGCAGGGTGTTCCACAGGGTTCAGTACTAGGTCCCATCCTGTGGAATGTCCTGTACGACGGGGTGTTGAGTGTTGTTAGCGGGATGCACTCTAGAAGCTTATGCTGATGATCTCACACTGGTTGCGAAGGCGAGTCAGAAAACGGACATGGCTAATGCGGCTAATACAGCCCTGCGTCGCATTAGTAGGTGGATCAGAGAGAACGATCTACAGCTAGCGCCTCAGAAAACTGAGGTGTTAGTTCTCAAAGGGACCCGGGAAAGATCCTCTTTATAGTGGAAGGTGTGGAGGTTGCACCGGTTAAATCAATTAAATATCTGCGAGTCTGGTTGTCGCAAGGTCTAAGGTTCGGAGTACACATCCAAAAGACAGTAGAGAAGACGAACCGAAATCTGGAAGCGTTGATGCGGTTGATGCCAAACATTGGAGGCCCAGAAAGCACCAAAAGAAAGGTGCTCAATGGAGTTTTCCAGTTGGTAGTAACCTACGCTGCCCCTGTGTGGTGTAGTGTACTAAACACTGCGAAATACGCTAAGCTGATGGAGACTTCGCAAAGGCGAATGCTCCTTAGGGTGTCCAGTGCATATAGGACAGTCTCGACATTAGACTCTATATGTCATTGGAGCGGTGATACTGATTGTTTTGTTGTGTAAAGAGCGAGCGAGGATGTATGCGAGGAGGATGGATGTAAATATACATGAGAATAAAAGAAAGAACGATAGTAGAGTGGCAGAGGGAATGGGCGAATGACAGTGGAAAGACAAGGTGGACGAAGGAGCTTATTCCCGATCTGAGACCGTGGTTGGAATGTAAGTTCAGGAAACTATACTACTTCCTGACCTGACAGTTTCTGACCGGACATGGTAGTTTTGGCACGTTCACAAATAGAATAGGCAAATCTGCCTCGGCAGACTGTACTATTTGTGCGGTACCATTAACTGCCAGAGATAAGCAAATAAGATGGGAGATTTCGAGAGGCGAATGGGTTTCGGGCTGGATGAAAGAAACATCGTAAACATAATGTTAAGATGAGAGAAAGAATGGGGAGAAGTACACTGTCTGATTTCTGGGGTGATGAAGAAAAAGTAGCAGGAGGACAGAGGAGGAAATTAAGCCAGGGATCTAAAAATTTATAGTTAATATTGTTTATTAGTTTATGGCCTAACGTCTAAACATTTTCTGATTTACGGTTATAGGTATGGTTATATATAAATTTTTAGTTGTTTATTTTAGTTGTTTATTGAGTAGCAAGACCACCTCTCTGAAACGGTGGTTAAGGTTTTAGCCGGAACACGAGTAATCCGACACTACCCTGTGGTCTTCTGGCTTAGCATCCCACTCGGCCGAAAGATATCAGGGTGTATTGTTCCGTGACGTAGAGGTCCAAAAAAGATTTCCCCACCGTTGCCTGTCAGAATTCAATGGATACCTTCTTAGGCAGGCTCAAAAATTTGTTTATAGTCATTCTTTATTATCCACACCAAGTACATGGTAGAAATGTTCTTTTTAGGCTGTTAAATTAAAATAAATATTTAAACATACTCTATATTACTTCCTTTTATCTTGTGTTGTAACTATCAAACCAAAAAAGGTAGTCAGTTATTTTAAGCCAATGTAACTATTTAGTACTTTCTAATATCGGTTTCAACGTAATTTTTGAAAATCAGAAAAAAATGGATATTTGGTCTCAAATGGGTTAAAAGTAGGGTCAACATGTTTTACAATATAAACAATTATTGCAAGAATGACCTTGTAGAAAAAATATTTAATCTATGGGTTTAAGGCCTTTAGTAAACTATCTAACAAATATAACCATTCATTGACTTATCCCATTGTGAGATAAAGGAATATCCACAGTATCCACAAAAAATCGCTAATGTCCAAAATAACTCTTACCTTTTCCATCGTATATCCAGCGACGTTTTCATCGTTAATTTGCAAGATTTGATCTCCAAATCGCAATCCTGCCATGGCAGCTGGTGAGTTCTCGACGACGACGCTGACGAATACACCTTTGTTAATGGCTTTGACGCGAACTCCCACTTTGCCATCTTTATCTTTGCAGAGTATCAATTGACGAACTCCGTGAGTGACCTGAGCTCTTTGAAGGCCGACTGATTGTCCAGAAATGGGAGCTATTAGACCAGTAGATGTAGTTTGGGGAACGTTCTGAAAAGAAATTCAATAAATAAAAATATTTTATTTTATAAACAAAACAATTAATCTTTAAACTATAAAAGAAAAAAAATTCAGCATATTTTTCTTATTACTTATGCTTATCGATAAGAAATTCACTCTAGTAGCATTGTTCTGTTTCGTTTCTATTAGGGGATGTCGTTTTAAAGTTTTTTTTTCTGTAATATGGCTTTGGCAGAGCCAATTAGCCAGACGTTGTTTGTGTTTATTGTTAAAATCGACTGAATTTTAATTATTAGTGATTGCAGATTCATAGTCCAAATTTTCTTGTTATAAGTTATCAATGTTAGTACTACATATACCTAATATTTATACATAAATTATATTTTGATATATTTTTTTTTTTGTCTTTTTTTTATTCTTTTATTATCTTCTTTTTTTTTGTTCTGTTTTCTTTTTTTGTTTTGTTGTTTTTTTTTGTTTTTTGCTTTTTTTGTCTTTTGTTTTTTTTTGTACTTATTTATTTGTTTTGTTTTTTGTTCTATATCTATTTTCTTTTGTTTTTTTTTTTCTTAATTTGTGGTATAATTTTTTTTGTTTTTATTTTAACCATATTAACAGATTATGCCTATATACTATTTACATCTTGTATTTACACATTCTAACATGTTTGTAAATGCAATGAAGAATTTCCATATTATTTGAAAATATTAAAAGATTAAGGTTTATTGGAAAACAACACTTAGGATTTATTAATTCCTTATAAAGTTCGTTTATATTATTAATTTGTAAATCACATTCTAATATAATATGTGTTAGATCGCCTATTTTGCCACAAGTACAATTGGGAGTATTTGATAAGCCGATTCCATGCATGTAAGATGGTGTAAGAGCATGATTTGCTCGCAGCCGATTAATGGTCTTTATAAAATGTCGATTAGATTCTGTGTAAAACCATCTTCTTGAGGGTATCCTACTGTTACAATAAAAATTTGAGCCAGTCTTACATTCTGTGTAATGTAAATGCCAATTATTTTTAAGTTTTTATCTACTAACGGTGTCAATATCTGTCGCTGGAATTAAATTTTTGTTTACTTTTACTCCAAGCATATATGCCGATTTAGCCAAATTGTCAACAATCTCATTGCCTTTTATTCCCGAATGGCCCTTGATCCCTGTAATTATTACATTTAATCCTAATTGTATAGTTTCATAAAGAATTTTAAGAATTTTCAGTTCAATGTGGTTTATGTGTTTGACTGTTTGTATGTTGTTAAATCTGTCTACCACGCTTTTACTGTCAGTAAATATAACATAGTTGCTAGTAGGATTTAGTACTACATACTGAAGAGCAAACAATATTGCCATCATTTCTGCTGTATATATTAAGCATTCACTGGGTAAGCTATACTGATGATGGCAATTTTTATTTTCGTGAAACATTGCACAGCCGTTCCATTTGCATCTTTTGACCCATCAGTAAAAATGTACTGATAATTTGTCCATTTTTCTTTAATAATTATATCAAACATATTTGGGAGTAAATGTGAGTTTAAGTAACATATCCTAACTTTTCTAGAAAATAGTGTTTTGGCCATTTCACCATAGTAGGGCGGAATTTGACTTTTATAGAGAATATCGTTGTATTTTACAGTACTTACATAGCTTTCTACCAAAGGTATAGATTTTTTAGTTCTCCAGTACCTATGCGTAAGGTCTAAAACTGATAGCTCATTAAGATCTTGAAGGTATTTACAATTTTTGGACATAATTCGGACTGTAAATTTGTCGCTAAGGAATTGGCGGCGTAAATGCAATGGAGGTTCCACCGCTTCATTTTCCATTATTTGGACTGGAGTGGATTTTAAATAACCTAGGCATAATCTCAGGCATTTATTTTACATACACACTTACGAATATCCTACTTCTTCCATACATCTCACATATTTTATATTTGAGTACCAGGTTTTTATTTTTCGACAGACACACACTACACACCACACACACACAACACACAAACGCGCGCGCGCTTTCGTTTGAATTCGAATTTTGCTCTGTACTTCCGAGTGTTTCATTTACTTTTCGGAACGGATATTCAAAATTGCCACTCGCTTCAAACGTTTTGGGATAACGGTTCATTCTACACAAAAAGGGCACAAAACATTTTTGTTCAAAATTATCTCAGCTACTTATTTGAAAGATTTTTTTCTACGGCGTACAGACTAGGTAAATCGATGTTTTCCGTTTTTCCCTTGCGAAGGTGGATTTAGGGGGAAGACCGGGAGTATGAGTGACAAACTATTTTACATCTTTTTGTCGTCATAAAATTGACATTCTCATCAAAATTCAGCTTGTTCGTATCATTTTTAGAGATCAAATCTCTGACGACCATGGGCGAAGCTTAAGAATAGACAAGGTAGACATTGTCTACCCAAATAGAAAAATCCCCAGAATATCTTTAGAAATGTCTTTAAAAATAATTAATATTAGCCAAACGTACTAAAAGCCTGCACTATTATTACAGAAAAATTAAAACTAAACTGAACAAATTCTAAACCTAGGACGAAAAATCTTTAGCGATTGGTGCGTATACTATAAAGATAAGACAATACCATATTTGTCTATTACACGCGAGGATTTCTCACAATCCGACCGATTCCGGCATATACGGAGGATGGCGAAATTTATGCTCCGAAGAGACAATTTCTGATTTGTCTAGCACAACGGACCAAATTAAATCCTTGATATGTGTCGCGCGGATTTTCAACAATATTTATTTGATTTATTGGAGAATGCTTTAAGAGGGTATGCGCAAAATTTCGGGCCAATGCTTTTTAAATGCAATTATTTTTTTCGAATCCTGAGAAAACTAATTAGTATTTTTGAAAAATTTAAACGCAGAATGAAAGATTAAATTATTACTAAGAGTCGAAAGTCCCTGAAAACTGCTATGTTTATTTTAGTAAGTTACAGGGGTGAAAAAGAAGAGAAAATTAAATGTGATTTTTAATTTCAAATATCTCATTCAAAAAAACTTTTTGTTTATTCTAATGGACTTTCGGCCTCGGTAATAATGTAATCTTTTACTCTGCGTTTAATTTTTTTAAAATATTTAATAGTTTTTTCAGGATTCGAAAAAAATGAATGCATTTAAAAAGCATTGGCCGAAATTTTGCGCCTACGCTCTTAATGCTATGACGACTTGTGGAAATCTTATTTAATTTTTTTTACTCGTCTCGGTGACAGAGTGATTTAAGAGCGTTCAATAGATCTATTTCCTTTTTTAAATAGTTTTATCATGGATTCAGTTGATTTCGACCCCGTCGTGTTTTTAAAAGAGAATTAATTTGTTTTCGGCGCTTAACTTAGAAGATAAACTAAATTGAAAAAATAGTCAAAAACGACCTAAATTAAGTTTATCACAAAAAGATAGAAAAACAACAAGACATTTCAATCAAATCGTACGAGAAATTTACATGGCTTTGCGGCAGCGAAACTGAAAATAAATTATATTGTTTTCCTTGTCTGTTATTTGGAGACAAAAAATTTTGTGGACAAAGCTAGCAGATACGCTACCTTAAAAAAAACATATTTCGTCGCATGAAATGTTCCATTTGTTGGGAAAAGTTCGAATAGATTATGCAATTGACCAAGGAAAAAAAAATGATGCCCAACGTCACAACGAGCGTGTTGTTAAAAATCGCAAAATTGTCGGTCGTTTAATAGATGTAGTTCGTTTTTTTGGCTTGTCAAATTAGCTTTACGAGGACATGATGAAACTGGTACATCAAAAAATAAAGGTTAGTAGAAGTTACTAAATTTTAATCACATTACTATTGCAAAAATATATTTTATTATAAAATACTCGGCAGCTCTAGAATTTTCATAAATTATATTTGATATATTTGTATGAAATTTGTTTGGAACTGTTAGATCTTATTGCTTTGGAAGAATCTAATATGCGTGATCACTTATAGCGGCTTCCCACGGTCGGCGATATTGCGGACGCAAGCGGACCAGCCCGCACCACGCACCGTGGGAAAGGTCTCGTCCGTGGTAGCGCAGGCACGTCTGTGCTGGTCCGTCACATCCATCTAGAGTCGATAACATCAAAGGTGCGGTACATGCTCGTGCGACGCGATCCTAGCGCGTCTGTGTTCTAACAGACGACAAGTGCAAGTCAGAAGTTTTTCAATCACTGCACGAGTAGTTGTTTGGAGTGTTGTCAAAGTTGTTTTGCAGTTTTTTTTGCTAAAAAATCGAATGAACAAAAAAAGTTATTTTGATTTTTTAAATTTGTATCAAAATGAACCAAGTTTATGGAATTCCACGGCGCCAGAGCATAAGAACCGGAACGATGCATACGATATATGGAACCGAATAAAAAATCAATTGAAGAATAGTACTATTTCGATTAAAGAATTAAAAAAGAAGAGAGATAATTTAATGTCGACATACAGAAGGCAATGATGTTTACAAGCCTGAGTGGCCTTTTTATGATATAATCAAACATTACTGTCACGGACCTACACAGACTGTCACGGACCGTAGGAAGAGCTCTGTCTGCGGTGCGTTGTCGTCCGTGCTGATCGGCTATCCGCGATGATCTGTAGAATCGCCGATCGTGTGAAGCCACTTTTAGACGCCGTAACATTTTAAAGGCACATCCAGCGAAATTCAAAATCAGTTGATAGAATCGGTGGAATGTATTAACAGACAGAAAAGTTTTACAGATTTGCAAGAAGCGGACTTTATATCTGTTCAGGCTGATGAAACAACTGATGTATCCTGCAAATCCCAGTTTAGTGTAATATTAAGGTATGTGTACAAAAAAGACATATGTGAAAAATTTATGGGATTTTATGACGTGTCTAGTGATAAAACAGCAAATGGTCTTGCAGAAAAAATTATTCACGTTTTACATTCCAACGAGATAAAAAATGATAAATTAATATGCCAAACATATGATGCACCTCTCTTTGATTTTACAGTCAAAAATTTCTGTCGATGTAGGCTTATGTGTCGAAGAAATA